GTTTTAGTTAGAAAATTTATCAACTATTTTGAAATTTCTGTAACGAATTGTTTTTTCTTCCATAATTTTTCCTTAATATGGATTTTGAGTGGTTAAATCAAAACAAATCAGATGCTAAGTAGGGAAAAATAATACAATATGTTGCATTTCTTAAAACAAAATTTTCGAAAAAAAAGATTCAATTTTAAAAAAAATTAAAACAAGATTTTGTTGTTGGTATTCATAAGTTTTTTTTTGGAAAGTGTATTTTAGCTAGAAACTTGTCACTATCAAAAGTACTCTCACAGTTTGAAATAGGCATTTATCATATTTTAAAGCTAAAGTTCTTCAAAATAAAAGAAAGAATAGAAGAGTTGATGAAGATCTTATTAACTTTCTGTTGTACAGGAACACCAGTAGTTTGTAGAAAGTTGAAAAGGATATTTGATAGAAAAGAGTAATTTCAGATTTATGAGCAATTTTTTTGCTTACAAGATTGGACTTAGCTTTAATGCTTAATAAATAATTTACAAACCAAATGAAATCCTATTAAAATAAAAAATTGGAGACAAAGTTTATCATAAAATATTGGGTGAATCAGTATAATTGATTGATTTTGAGTTTCCTTACCCAAAGTTTTTTTTAGAAAATCTGGAAAAATTTGACAAAAATTACATCTGTTAATACCTTTTTCTGTTAGTTAATATCAAAACGATAAAAATTTATAAAGAAGGAAAGCTTATTTCTGATTATTTGAAATCAAACTGGTTAAAATTAACTTAAAAGTGCTTGATTTCGATTGTTTTATGCTGGAATGTATAAATATTTTTTTTGTAGTTAAAGCACGGAACTGATTGGTTGACATTTAAACTGTTGAAAGCTCCATGATAAAGAAATGGTTGATTCTGATTGGTTCACAATAAAACTGTTGAAAGTTTCATGATGAGTTAAGCTTGATTCTGATTGGTTGATGTAAAATTTTTTTCAAATTCCATGATTAGTGAAGCTCAAACTCGACTGCTTGTTATCAGTACTTTTGTGCAAATTTTCCAGTGTTTTCTCTGAGATATGTGCAAAATAGTTTCTCTATATGTGTTCAAACGTTGTATCGCTAATTTAGTTTGTGTTCTAAATGTTTTTTCAACTAATTGGCATGTTTCTCTCTGAACTACTCATCTATTTTCACAGCTAAAAGAAATTTGAAATAAGATAATAATTCTTAAAGATGAAATAAATGACAAGCAACAATTACTTACAAAAATTATTAATCAAAGAGCTGTCCAGGTCTGGAAGTGCTCTATAGAACGCAGAGCTGGTCGAGACTGGTGTCGTTGTTGTGCTGCTGGAGGAGTCAATGTTCTAGAGAAACCCTCATCTTCATCTACTGCGATGGGGTTTCCAGCTGATCACATCTCCTCCTCCCAAGGAAGAGGAAGTCGTTGACTGGTTGAGCCACATATCTAGAGTCAAAACCGAGGAAAAGTTGAATCATGAACTTTGATCTAGAAATTTCTAAGAGTATTAGTATGCTTGATCGTTTGACTTGAGGTTTAAACATAAATCTTTTTGGCTGGACTAAAAAAGTAGTTAAGTTTTTATTAAAAAAATGTAAATTGGAAAAAGTTGGATAGATGCTGTGTCTGATATGAAACCATTTACTTCATTTCTTCAAAAATGATGGTTTTTATAGGACTCTTACGGTATTTCGGAACTTTCAGCATAGATTTAACTGATATGAACATTGTTTCTGGTCTTCAAAACACTATATAACACGCATTTTAATTTAAATTAGATCAAATCTTTTCGTCTTTGTATTTTATTTTTTCAAATCTCATCGTATTATCAAGTCTGATCGTACTCATATTTTTTAATCAAAAATTGTATCTTTGTCTTGACAAGATACCAGTTAATCAACAACTTGTCGCTTTTCATGTAAAATAGCATCGGTTTTTACGATTGGAAGAATATCGATTACAAAAATTAGACAAAAACTTGAGTTTTCGGAAAAACTTTCCAAACATTTTTTTGATTACGAAAACGTTAAGAAACTTAAACATCGGCAAAATCGGGCGCCGAATTTTTTTTCTCGAAACTTACTACTTTACCATATCAAACTCCGAAACCTGTAACCTATCCTAATATTTTGCGAAATCTATTCCCTGTATTAATACATAGGTTTCGGACCGGATATTCTAAAGCCTATGTCAATAAATGGGGGTTCGCATACCCCAGACGATTTGGCTCCAACATATACTAATTTTGTATATATGCATTTTTTAAATTCAATTGAAATTCATTTGCTGAAAGTGATAGCTGTAAATAGCACTCTCCAAATACGAACGTGGAAGTGGTGCAAAAAACGTGAAGGATTTCTAGTTTCGAAAGTGGAAATTAATTTTAAGATTTCCAGAGGAAAAAATTTTACCTGTCGATTCAACTTTCTCTAGTTGGGTTAATTTATCAAAAAAGCGCCCATCATAAATCGTTCTAGATACTCGGAAAACCTGAACGACATCTAATTTTTTCTTTGAAAGTTGAGATTTTTCCAACAGTGTTTTTTTTATGTTTACTTGAGTTCCTTACTCTTTTCCAATCTTCATTTGGCTATGTTTGTTCTCCACGCAAAATCAGGTACCACAAACAATTATTGGAACTGTTTGAGTGATGTATCATTTTAAAGACTTTTCAGTCGTGATTAAAATTTGTGATTTTGAAAATTTTTTCTAGTTATTGAGAAAAACCGGTTTGAACTTTTGATCTTCTTTTTTCGATCTAAGAAGGTGAGCGTACAGGCTCACAATACGTTATTTATGCTTATTATAAGCCGTAAAATACTATTTTTTTTCGATTAAGGATATTTTTTAACGACAATTTGGGAGTCGAGTCAAAAAATTTAAAAATTTTCTCAAAAAAATGAAAATTTTAAAAGTTTTTTTAAACATTTTTTTTTCGTGTTTCTAGACTTTTTTTTAATACAAAAACTGTTTTCCAGGTGGCCTATTTTACTATAACTGTAAAATATGCTAAAGTTCGATTTCTTATATCAGATAATTTTTATCGCAGCACGCAGAAAAAGCCGACAATGATTTGAAATATAGTCTTACTGTATTTTTTTTAAAACTATGGTCGGAACATTTTGTGCTACTTGCACAGTAACCGACTATTCTTGTTATAAATGAAAATCGTTCTTTCAGTAAAAAAAATGCAGGAAAAAATTGCTATCATTTGGAATTAAGTGAGTCGAGCTGAGAACTAATAAGGGTGACGTAAAAGACACTTTGATCTTAAGTACCTGAGGGCAACTTCCGTGATCCACCGATTTGAGAATAATCTGTACTTTTTATAATCTGTGCAATAAATCAAAAACTTTCATGAAAACTTTGCGTTAAGTACATCTGAAAAAAAAAACTGCAAAACAAACATTCCAAAAACTCTGATAAATAATCTCGCTTGCGGAGATTTCAGCCTAATGGGTATATTTGAAACATTTTCGCATTTCCAACACCCGTTCTCTTTTGGAAAAATTATTTTGAAAATTGTTTTGTAATTTTGTATCCCTAGACTTGCGAGCTTAGTGTTCTAGTACGAAAAGTTTTTTTCCACCCTAAGTCGCAAATGAAAGTGCTCATTTGGTGGCACTTTTGCTATAATCAGAATCAGTAGCATTAGAAATTTACTTGCATCTGTTCTCTGCTTTATTTGTGGCTAGTTTTAGACAATTTATAAGAAACCGCGGCTAATTGATTAGTGCATAAGAATCTCAAGTTGTAGGTCGGCGGATCGAATCCGAAACGTACAGGACTTTACTAATTCGTGGTTTATTTTGACTTTTTCTTGATTTCACTTTATAGAGTTGCTGTTTTGTCATGTTCTCGCCTCTGTGTAAGCAGTTTTTTTTGCTAGAAATACGGTTTGGCCCCAGAAAAGATTCGATTTTTGTTATAACGGTTTAGTCACATTAACTAGCGTTATTTGAAGGGCCAAAGCGGATTTTTATGTTTGTGTGCTTCAGGCGGCATTCAGAAACTTCATCGCCCAAAATTTTTTGAGGTTGTTTGTTTTACCCAAGAATGCTTTTTACCCCACTATGATCAGTTTAGTAATAGATTCTTCCATTTTGTACAATGCTCATCGTACGTCGTTCATTGTATTTTTCGTCTTTATATTCTAAAGTGCAATTTCATGATAGAAAATCGAAACATTTTAGTATTCCGAATTTTTTTCTCGAATTAGTGGATTTTGTCTGGTTTTCTATCGACTACTTCTGGTTTCTGTTTAACATGTTAATCAACATGTCAATCAAGGGCGGATCTAGAATTTTGTACTGGTGAGGGCAGATTTTTGAAGTTTTTTTAAGAAAAACAGGTCAAAAAAGGCGTTATAGGCACTTTTTGGAAAATGTTGACCAAAAAAATTGCGTTTTTACGGCGCGCGCTCCCCCTCAAAAATTAATGTATATTGAAAAATTTTAGGGTACTAAATAGTTGTTAGGGTGCCTCATCAAAAATATATATCTCAAAATAGTACAAAGGGGGGACCCTTTGGGTCGGCAGGGTGTCGAATCCCTGAGGGGGGGTCGTCATATTTTTTACTCTTTTGCAGAAATTTTGTTCAGCCGTTTTGAATAGAATCTGTATCAAAATGACATACTATTTTCATTTTGCGACCACGTAACGAGGTGACGGGAAGGAACTATGTTAGAGGTTGGGTTTTTCAAAAGGATCTTTATAGATTACATCTCGTAGGGGGTAAAATGTGGACTTCAAAAAAGCTCCAAGAAACTCGCTCAGCTTTGAGAAAAACCGGTCTGATTAGTTTTGCCGTTTTTCAGACACGAACTTTACCGATGTCAGGCTATAAAACACTGAACTCTAAAATTCTAAAATTTACTTAAAAAAGAACAAATGTCTATTCCGTTCCAATTTTCAGAAAGCGTAGGAAAAATTACACGCTTCTTTTTTTTAAACCTCTGCGATAAATAGAATGAGTTGAAAATAAGAATTGAATGTGGTGATGGTGTTTTAATTATAACTATGAACTGTAAAATTATTATACATGAAGTCCACCCATAAAATAACAGGGCCTGACAACCTGTGAAAAGTTATTACGTCGCGTTTAGAACAGCACCGATTGGCGGCATCAAAGCCAAAGTTTCCACTGGCCGAACCCTGAAAACTTTTGTCGTTTTTCTTCCATGAGTATTTCGTCTCTTCTAGAACGGATTGCTCGTAGTGTCTATCGAACCATTTTTCTCTTTTCCGAGCCAAATTGTACTCCAATTCAGGCGAAAACGCGTGAAACAAATCGTGTTCATCATGATTGGGAGTTTGATCTGCGGACAACATTGATGACGTGGCTGTTTTTAGTTGGACTCCGATCGTTCTCATGCATTTAGCAATGCCGATATAGTCGGACATTGGCTCGGTGATTGCGGGACACCCTTTGTTGCTTTTGAATCCTTCGGTGACAAGTTTTTTCAAAACCTGTTTGTTCATGACGTACCCTGCTGCGCTTGGGTATCCTCCTGAAAAAGAAGTTGGGATATTAAAAAAATATTTCTGAGTTTTGATTTTATCCTGTCAAGTAGAGTCTAACTAAAAAAGCGTCTTTGTTCAAAAAACGTAACTTAAAACATTCCGTAAGCTTCTATCTCAAGACTGGAGCAAAAGTCACCCATTTTGTGTTTAGAAATTTGTTCATTAGGATGCCAAACTGTACACTGGATGGTCGCACAGTTTGGTGTCTGTTGGTCACAGAATAGATAGATAAGTCTCAAAACAATGTCTAAGTTGTAAGTGGATTTCACTTACCAAACCTCCGTGGAACCCACGAATTAGAAAAGGATCACACTGTTCTAGCGAATTGTTTTTTTTTCGAACGGGACACCTATCTAGTCAACCAAGCATCTAGTCAAAACATTTAGGGTTAAAGCGCAAACTTTAATTCCATACGGTTTTTGGCATACGAATCTACAAGCAAAACGACAAGGGAAAACCCAGACCAGAATAAAAAACGTTTTTTCTAAGTCATGTTCACAATCCGTAAATATCAATCAGTAACAGATTGCGATTTGTCCTCAAAGCGAGAGCGCAAACTAACGTGCTAACGTAAATTTTGTCGGAGCGTTAGTTTTGTCGCGGTTTCCGCCTCAATGAGCTAGTTGTTCCGGATTCCCCAAATGTAAACGGACTCCAAAATTTTATGCGGATTCCTCTCACAATTTGCAAATTCCACTTAAAACTCGCGGATTCCACTTTTAATTAGCAGATTCCGCTTGCAGTTGCGGATTCCACGACTGCGTGATTTTACTATGCACAAATTATCTGTTCGTGCATTCCACAAACTCTTCGGGATTTTTCAAAACTTTGCAGCGGATTCCGCAAACACGCCTGCTTTTAGAGTGATTTTGAGCAATACAGGGATTTAGCTAATTGGTCGTGGAATCCAAAATAGCCAAGAAGATCAAAGGAAAGAAGCAACTTTGCGGAATCCGCTTACTCATCACAAGAAACACAGTTTGGCCTGGAAATATTAGAATACAAATGACATTACTGTCCTGTAATATGACACAACTGTGTGTCTTAACTGTCGTGTAATTCGTAAAATAGTGTAAACCGCAGTGTGATTTTTTCCATGCGATTTCTCAAACTTCCTCAAAGCGAGAACACAGTTTCGGTCAGTTTTTCAGATCGGATAATTCCAGTCCGTATAAATTTCAGACTACAAGTAAAAATTGAAGAAAATAAGTTGTATAAACCTTTTTCACGAAATAGTTTTTCTTTTCGATCAACAAAACTGGCATTTTTTCCGGGTGAAAACAACGATCTGAATATGCAAACTCAAACTGGTTCTCGATACTGCTGAAACATTCGAATACACTTTGAATGCAATAGCGTGGACGGCATCTTAACCCGGCTGAGAAAATATTCTAAGTTGAATTGAGATAAGCTTATCTCAGTTCAATTGAAAACGTTTTCTCAGACGGATTAAAATGCCGATCTCGGTTTAGCAGTCGTTTTAGAAAATTCGAAAACTGTTTGTTTCGTTGACGAAACTACAATTAGTAGAATTGAAGAGAGAAGAAAGCGTTAAATGAACACCGTCAAAAAGGCTTGTTGTTTAAATTGAGTAAATTCTTATCAACCAAATATCTAGTCAAAATATTTAGAGTCAAAGCGCAAACATCAATTGTGTCAAAAACCTCATGCAGCCTCATGTGTCTTTGCAGCTGGATTAGCTAGAAAAACAGGGAACGAACAATTGAACTTTTTGTGGATGTGTACAACATGGTTAATCTACCAGCACGTTGCTCACTATTGTTGAAACGGTTTTTGAGCTCCGGACCTATGTAATTACCAAACTGTTTTCAAACAAGTTGGTCTTCGTGACAAAATAGTTTCAATCGTATTCGCTCTTTGCGACTAAGTTTTATCAAAAACAATTGGACTTTTAAACAAAATGGAATGGTCAAATTTTATTGTATAAAGAGTATACGCTGACTTGACTATACACAGATTAATGACAGGTAATATATACGCTTTTAAAAAACTCGTTTTTTGTCACTTCCGGGAGCCGATTTGTCATTTATAACTGCGTAATGTTTTGTTGTTTGAATGTTTTTTGAGTCACCCATCTATTAAAAGCAACTAAATGAGGCTGCGGCTCAAATATAAGTGACAATGTGGCTCCTAATAAATATTATAAAAATATAAAAAATACTAAAAACGACAAAAGGCAAAATTGAGAGACAGTAACTTCTATGAATGCCTTCTAATTTACTGACATTGGTTAGTTATAAACAAAAACATTTATTTTTATTGCTTGAACTTGGTAATAATCCTCCAACAATCAACTGAAAAATTTAAACAGCATTGATGTAATTATAGAGATATTATTTAAAAAAAAACTTGCGTTCTGTCTGCAAACACCACATACAGTTTATTTCTTAGTAGAACGTTTCAAAAGTCTGATAAAATTCAGCGGCTCGATCAGCTTGAAAAAACAGAAAATTAAAAATTGAAAAAAAATCGGTGTTTGGAACAACTTAAAAACTCTGTTTTTGCAAATAAAGTTTTGAAGGTTTAATTAACTTGATCTTTATTTTTTGGCAATAAAATGAGGAACAGTTTTTTGTCAAAGAAATGCTCTGGAAATAGCAATTTTCTATTACTGTAAATTCTAATTTTGAGGGCTTTTGCTTAAAAACCTGCCTTTTGATTTAATAGGTGCACGGATATAGTTTTCCGTCTTTTTCAAATAAAGCGAAGTTCTTAAAAATTTTATGGGGCACCGTATATGAGATGTTTTATCTATAAAGCTGTATCGAAAACCCGATACAATTTTGCAGCTCGGTCAGCTAAAAAAAGACAATGAACAATTGAGAGTTTTTTTTGTGATTGCGTAGAACATGGCCTACTAATGATCTCGCAATTTTTGAGAGCAAGTTTTTTGTTAATAAATATATATCGTTTTCCTAGAACAATTGCTCATCGGAACAAAGTAGATTCAATCATACTCCATTTTTGTAACTAAATTTATCGAGTGTCTGGCGCAGATTGTAGCTATCAAAAGATTCTAACACACTGCTCTTTATAGAGCAGTGTTTTAAAATCTATTTGTTGTCTTTTTCGCTGAGCAATAATTTAGGATGCTGTGTTTTCGGTTGATTTGGATTAACAAATTCTCAAGTAAAAGAAAGTGTTCTGGAAACAGAGTTGTTCACATCTCTGTAGTTGCTAATTTGGAATTCTTTTCGAGAAAAATTCAGCGTTTTTACTAAGTAGGTGCAAGAATATAGTTTTCTGTGACTTTTGCACTACGCTGATGTAATTAAAAGAGAACCTTATGGGATTTTCTCTACCAAGCGATATCAAAAGTCCGATACAGTTTCGCAGCTCGATCAGCTAAATAAAGACAATGATAATTGAACTTTTTGTGATAGTTTACAACACGATTTTTCTACCTGCACGTTGCCCAGTAAAATTGACCCAATTTTTGAGAGCCAGACCTTCTGAGTAATTACTGAACCGTTTTCAAACAAATTGGTCTTCGGGACAAACTCGTTTCAATCGTGCTCGTTTTTTGTTACTAAGCTGTAACAAAAACAATTGGTCTCTGATACAAAAAAATGATCAAATTCTATTGTATATCATATAATAACAAGCCTACCCTAAGCACAGATAAAGTTACGACAATGTGCTTCCGAATAGAACAACAGAAACCCATCAAAAGTGTCAAAAGTGAACTTGGACAATGAACTATTTGAGAGCTAAAAAAATGTCGTTACATTAGACTGATGTTGAAAAAAATCTTTCTTGAAGTTCGCAGAGCATCGGACAATGAACTCTTTGAGTGCTAAAAAAATTGTCGTTACCCTAGGCTGATCTTGAAAAAGATTCTTTCTCGACGTTCGCAGTGTATTTAAAACTGCTAGATATAAATTCGCAATGTTTTGCGGCTCGTTTAGATTGAGGAACTTGTTGTCAACCAAACATCAAATCAAAATAATTTGAGTTAAAGGGCTAAAGTTATTTCAGTACAGTTTTAGTAGGCGGAAAAGCGAAACAAAAAGGGAAATCTCCGACCAAAAAAAAAAACTTTTTCAACGTTTCACTAAGCTGTCATTGCTGGTTGAATGCTTAGTAAGCTATCCTAAGTTATAAAACTCACCGAAGATCTTCAAGTTTCTTGACAAAAGTTATAGTATAAACAATAGTTAGAAAAGAGTATGAATTAACGAGCTTGATGCATATAAAGCACAGGGTTATTAGGTTATATAAATGAATGGAACAGCTTAAAGAAATATATCTATGATGGACGGGGTTTTAGATCCTATTTTCACTTTTATATTTAATCTTCTTTCGAAGGTTGATAATGGGGCCTAAATCTCGAGTCAATCTTCGGTGGTTCGGTTCTTCTGAGTTGTCTTATGAAGGATTGTTTTGCGATCTTCAGGCTCTGATTTGTGTCGTTGTTGATTATCTCGATTTACTCTTTTATCGAAGTTTAAAGAAAAAAAACTGAATTCTGTTTTATTGGAAAAAGACTAACTTTATAAATTTGTTAAACAGAAAAAGGAAACTATTTTTTTTTGGAAAAATGAAGTTATAACATTTGAAAATTAGCTGTTGACTGAGCAAAAAGAAACACTCAAGATTTCAAGCCATTCGTTTTGCTCGCAAGCGTAAGCCGGCGGCTGATTCGTCTATCAAAGTACTCAAGTTTCACCTGTTTTTTTTCTCCCTTCATCATAGGGGAATTTTCAACTTGTTTTTATTTGATTTTTTTTTACTCTTTTTTTCTTTTTTCCGGCTCCACGCTGGAAGACCTGAGGATCACTATCTTCCTTTATGATGCCTCTAGTTTTTGCTGCAGTTTCGCTATCTTTGGCTTCTTCTTCTGGTTTTTCAATGTCAGTGGGCTCAATCCGTCTGGTAATTGTTCGATTTCTATTTGGTTTGAACATCTCGTTCCGGAAACCCGACATGAAATGAATCCGCGCGACAAGTGTAAGTTGTTTGCTGC